TTTCTTATCTTTCTTATTCTTTCGTTTATGAAATTGCCCCACCCCATTTTTGTACTGATATTAATACCTAGATATTTATACGTTTTAACGTATTCTATTTCTTTCGTTTATACTCTAATCTAGGATACGATGGTGATACGACATTATGTACTAAAAGTGCTTTCGTTTTAGAAACATTTACAGGAAGAATATTGTCATCCGCAAATGCTTCCAATGACTTTAACACTATTTTTGCTCTCTCCTCTAGTTTTATAACATTAAGCGAGAATTTCTTTTCTAAAGAACTACTTATAGAGCTACTTCGTAAAGCTCGTTTGTGAACTGGTGTACTCTGCATTCACTAATCTTCGATATACAGCGACATCATTTCTTCGTATTCAAAAAGTATGTTAACCAATCATATGCGTATGCAGTATGCAGTATGCAAAAAAAAGTATGCATTTTCCCATTACCCCACACAGACACACAGACAACCATTTCGTAAGACCCTATGGTATGTGTCCTGGTGAAATGAACTGCTGGACGAAAGACCAATCATTTACAGATGAAGTGTAGTGTGTTACTTTCGCCGAATTTGTAAAGCAATGAATTTTATAAGACAACAACTATCGGGCTTGAATGTAAATTGAAGTTCAATTATTTTCAGACTAAAAGGAAGTTCTGACCGTTTAAAATTAGGAAAGGTGGCGTTCGTCTACGGTAAGGTCAATCCATAGCAACAGAACCACTAATGGCAGCGATACAGCTATCCCATACCCGTATTTCATGGGAAAAGGCTAATTTCTATAAAAAGCAATAAAAACAAACCTGTTTTCTCAGATTTTAATGCTGCTATTAGCTTCAGTGCTGGCCATGTTTTTCTTAGACTCAGGACTATATTCAAGTCATTAAAACTGTTTTGTTAACCATTTTGCTGAACTGAATATTGACGGCCCACCATTATTATAATGTTTTTGCAACAACAATGTATTTTATTTGCTTAGTTTGACTATGCCGTTTACAGTGAAAACAAATAATAAAATTCGAAATACTGCTCTTGTGTACAGTAAAAGAAAAATCAAAATAAGAAAAGAAAGCGCTGAAGATATATTGTTCATGCAGCATGTCACCAATTGACAATTATAACTGCTTATATGTCAAATGAAATAAATCGAATTTTCTAAACTGCTCAGAACATCAGTCTCTGAGAAAGTCAGTCGTCGGGGCATTTTTTGTTGTATTGGTTTTGACTAAAAGAAGGGAGTAAAGGCGAAACAGTAAACAAGGTGTGTATAACAGAAAGGCTTACGTACTGTCGAAGAAGCATTTTCGTCTTTATTAGATCTCTTTCTTGCCTTCGTTTCCTGGGGATCCCGTGTGACACTGGATGCTGAATGAGACGTTTGATGTGTTGGTGTACAGTAGTTGTGGTCCACGAGTGATACATGACTTTCTTCTTTCATCAGAGCACAATTGCACGATGAAAAGTCTTCGTGTGAAGATTGGTATTTGTTTAAAAATTCAATTGTTTCGTCACTTTCATTGTCTGTCTATAAAAGTCAAAAAACAACGTTAATAAGAAGCGGAGACTTGCACAAGAAGCGCATACCATATCGAATTCTTCAGCACCGTCATCATCTTCGTACTGCTCATAATCAAAATCGGGTTCATTATCGGACATAAAACTATCATGAGTGTCAAGAGTGCCAACAGGCGATATTTCAGACTGTGCATACAATTGTTTCGGTGTCTGAATCGAAGCAAAAGAAAGAAACGAGCTGGAAAAAAGTAATAGTAGTTCTTACCATGCTATGTAGTAGGAAACTTGAATTCTGCTCTGTTTTAGATCGATTTGTACATGTTTGATTTGAACATCGACAATAAATTGTACACAAATATCCATTTTTCCCGCATTTGCATTGTTTGCACCCCGTTGAACATCTTCCGCATGTCAATAGACCTGTATCATCTGGTGTTGTCGATTTTGTTATCCATTTTATTTTCACCTCGTTGTCACTCAGTTGGAACCCATTGTCCGTGGACACGGGATATTCGATAAATTGTTCAAACGACTGCTGCCAGATGTTGATCTGCATGGCTGCTCTCAAACAATGTTGATGAAACGCATCCGTAGTCGGCGGCAAGTTTAACGCAATATTTTTACTATGTAGTTTGAACGAGTTCAAAGCATGAGCAGAACGTAATTCGTCAAGGGAAATGTATCGACGATTTTGCCTTTGTGAGGATGCAATACCGCTCGCTGAACGATTGCGAGTGTAACATGCTATCAGCAGTTTTTCTGCTACGAATACTGCGTCGGTCGTGACTGGAAACGATTGAAAGTTTATAACTTCTTCGAAACTCGACGGATTGTTGAAGAAAGTTTGTAAAAAATTTGCTTTCGAGATATTACGAACGAACGAAGTGGTGTCGCAACCAGATAACGCATGCAAAATGATCAATAGAATCGGATCAAAACGATAATCAGTAAGTATTTCTTGAGATATTCGCAAGCTATCGATATACGTAAAAATTTTGATTGATGTGTTGAAACATTTAATAATTAACGACTCGAGACCGATAATTTGCGCATAAGCAATAGACAGCAGAATAACATCAGTGTCACTTGTTTGAATCATAAATTGATTGAAAATGTACGTTGACTGGACCGCCTGCACATGTAACATGATCCGCGTGTCAGCTTCAACGTGATTGGATTCTAGTTCGTCGACCGTTTCCGATCCGAGATACTTTTGTAACCGCACTGCATTTACGCCAGGCCCTGCTACCACCAGTACTGTGTACTCCGGTAGTAAGTTTACAGCTGCAGGTTCTTGCCAGCATTCCACTATACAGCTGAAATACAAAAATAGAGACAAGTACAAAATATGGTTTGAATTAACACAGTGATGAGAGAAGAGTTCTTTCAATCAATGTTTGGCTAGAAAAAACTTTCTCACTTAGCTAGCACTGCCCGATTCTCATGCACAAATTCATTGTATTTTGTTGCTAAGAAATCGTTCTTTTTCAAATCATATTTGTTATTCGGTTTGTCATTTCCATAACGTTTTGTGAATGATTTGACAGTTTGACTATCGCTCGAGTCAAACACAATATCAACACGTTTGAACGATTCTAATTGTTGAATAATTACATTTCGTAGTAATTGGAATGCATAGTCATGTACTGTTGAGTTTTTTGATGAAGGTTTAATTTCAAGTAGACTTCGACCATCGATAACTAATGCACCTAAAACAGTTGAAAATGACGCGCCACTCATTCAAACTGTTCTAGTGAAACACTTACAATTCTCAAAATTTATTTGATGTGTGCGTGTGAAACACAAAGAAAATTTTTCTCTAAGAAAATCCAATGCAGCAGTTTTTTCTGTTGTTTCATCAGATCGAAGTTATCTTTATCACATAAAGACAGCGGTGCATCCGTACAATTTTTGTTTCGTCAGTCATTCTGAGTATCAAAAGGCGATGTTCTTTCTTAGAGAATGTACTAACTCAGCAGTTGTCTGATGTACAGGCTTAATTAAACATGTTAATTGTGTGAAACTCTCAGAATACAAATCCACAGAAGCGGGACTTGAATGAAAAGGTTGATCTCTAACTGAGTGTAAATGATTTTCCTTGATTGCATCATGTTTCCGAAGAGAAAACCGGGTAAAACATCATGCGATTAAGGCAATAATTTGATTACTGCAGTTCTTCAAAAATGTGAAGCAATGAGAACTGTAAAGAAGTTTTCTTCAAAACAGTCTCAATCAAACGACAAGCGTTCATCCCGGGGCTTGCAAAGGTTCAGTAACTTTTTCTCAGAGTCCTTTACATTATGTTTCACTCGGACTTTTCTTCGAGAACATGATGTAAACAAGCTATCTTGTTCATTGCGGGCTCAGTTAGAGAGTGAGCTGAAAATAAATACACAGTAATTTTATTTCTTCCATAATTGCATATAACAGACACACTATTTTTTCACTTATCTCATTTGACATGAGAATAAGAAAATGACAGTCATCTTATACACGTGTCACACATGTATAGACACGACTGTTAACATATATAAAATAGAAATTCTTAAGAGAAAAGAGAAAAAACGAGTGTCGTTATACTTTCTCATTGAAATGATACAAACCAATCAGAAAAGATGATATTTATTATTTTCATTCAACAACTTAGTTACTTGTACAAAAACACTTTAAACTGAGGCTTGAATTTAGTCCGCTATTCAAAATTAAGTTTAATTTAAGCTTAAGCTAAAATATGCATTCGTAGAGGCCAAAACACCACAAAATATGATGGCTCTTGAATTTGGTGATGACATTTTTGGTGATAGCTTATCTTCACCGCACAGACGACCATTTTGTAATACCCTGGACTAAAGTCAAGGGAACAACGTGAGGAAAAAAGGATAAATCTACGTAAAACATTAAGCCCGGCCTTGCTACCCTCATTGATCGCTGTTTAAGTTTTCGAAATATTTGCTGTTGCCGGCGCCGCTGTCGTTTCAATAAGAATGCGGCCACCATGTTTCTTCGTCCTGCCCAATTGAATCAAAAACGTTTCGACCAAGTCAAGTCAAACGTCACTCCGCTTGACTTGCACAACTCTGTTGCAAGTGGTAGAAACATAATTTGCAATTTTTTTTCTTATAGAGCCGGGAAAAACCTACCACATCTTGACGTGACCAGGTTTACTGGGATCTCACGGTTTTTACGTATATTGTATTTATTTTTTCTTTCCACACCAAAACGTTCCTTTATTCACGTCAGCGCACTTTGTCACATTATTGCCAATAAAACCGTACAAAATCACGCTAGGAAGACGGATATACGAGATTCTCTTTCTCCTCTACATAGTGCTTTTTCTCAAAAATTTTCGAATCAAACATTGAAAATAATTTTAGGACATAAAAAATAGAAAACAAAAAAACAGGATCATTATACGAAAATGTTTTTAACGGAGTCTCATATGCATCATCCAGATTTGCGTAGGCTTAGTCATATTTTTCCAAATTTGTCTGAGCTATGTCAAGATTAATCTGTGTATAGGCAA